CTAAATTTAATAATTAATAATTATATACTTTATATATTATTATAATAACTTCTATTATCATTACTGTAATCAAATATTTTCTTCCTTTTTTTCAAAATTAAAAAACGTGTACAGTTTATACAATAACAAATATTTTCTTTTAAAATATACAAAAATATTGATGCTTTCTTAAAAAACTTTGAGATTGAATCTTTGAGTGTTTTAAATTTTGTGATAAATAAATTAAAATCTTTTTACACAAAAGCTCTATGAAATCAAATAATGGAAACTTTATATTGAATAATTCAGTTTTATCTGTTATTGTTCGCAGTTTAAAATCCACTGACAGTTCATTTTTGTCAGTCATCTTTTTTATATTGCCTTTCTGGATCATTATTTTGTATCAGATACTGATTTATTTGACACTATTTTGTTTGGCTTTGATGCTGAGAAAAATTCTGCATCTACAATCATTCTCTGCTGCAGACAATCAAAGTAATGATTTCATGGTAAGGCATTTTAAGGCCTGCAGTACTCAACATCAATTTTAAGTTTTGATGTATTGTAGACACAAACAATTAAAATGAAAAATAAAAATAAAAACCTTATGGACCAGCAAGAACACAGCAATGGTGTTGAAAACTTAAAGAATTTAATTTTATACTTCAAAACTAAAAGAATTTAATTTTATGGCCTTGGCACTTCAACTTTTATGCTGTATAAGGCCTTGCTATGAGATTTTGTTGGGTAACGAAAATGCATAATGCTAATAAATGTAACTTTGACACAGCTGTGATATTTAAATTGCATCATTTATGTACTTTAAAGCACAGCATTGTAATTAAATTTAATTTTAAAACTTAAACTAATTTAACAAAAACTACTGATAAAATCTAAATTCAGTAATTGAAAAACAATCTTATACTTAACATAATTTTTCGTTTGTTTATTGCAATTTATTTATTGGCTTTATTTTTTACCCATTTAATGTAATATTTTAAATAAAGAATATAAACAATTTGTAGATATTATCAGTTACTAATAAGATATTTGTAAGCATAATTTATATTTGTAAATAAATTATGTCAAATTTTACACGATAATGAATTAATAAGAAACAATAAATTTTAAAAACATTTGTGAAAAGAATTCTTTTAAACAAAAACAATTCTTTACGACAAAGTATTTTCTGAATAAACATCACATAAACAATATTAAAAACAATTTAAATTTTCCAAAAGAAAAAAGTTTTTGCTTAACAAAACACTGCTGAATGTGCACACAAGTTTCAATTTTGTATGTAAAATGCAAGCTGTGTAATGCTTCATGAAGAGGCCTGCTGTTTAAAGTTAGATGAAATCGAGCTTTTTAATATATGCTTATTTTTAAAACTATACATTTGCTTAGAATGTTACTATCACAGTAAAAAAGATTTACAAGTTTTGAGATAGCTGATTCAATGCTGCTCAACCACATCAGGACATGCTTTAATGTCTTGTTTGACACGTAACAAGCCAATATCAAAAGCTAAGGTTGATGCTTTTTGTTAGAAACTTATATGAGGTAGTCTAAATTGTCAGTTTTGAATCTCCTTTAAAATTGTCATGTTGTTGGATGCAACAAATCAGATTCAGAGCATTTACCTAATAACTGCTTCTTCCACTTGCTTTATCTTTCTAATTCTAATTAAAGGCTTGTTAGAGGGTTTACTTAAAAGAACCTTTAAAGGGAACATTTCAAGCTTATACAAAGTACAGCTGCACAATGGTTTCCATCATAACTTCTTAATCTATATAATGATATCTTTATATTGATCTTTTTTGATTCTTCAATTTATGCTTATTTATGTTTTCATTGTGGAAACATAAATAAGCATATATTTATCGGATACTACTAATTTACTTTTACTACATAGAGACAACATTTTTAATATTTTGTTTTAACTTGTTGCTATGGAGTTTAGAGTGGAGGAGAGTTAAATAGCAGTCTACGCATCTATATATATATATATATATATATATATATATATATATATATATATATATATATACATACATACATACATACATACATACATACATACATACATACATACATACATACATACATACATACATACATACATACATACATACATACATACATACATACATACATAGATATATATATATATATATATATATATATATATATATATATATATATATATATATATATATATATATATATATATATATATATATATATATATATATATATAACTGATAATATCTACAAATTGTTTATATTCTACGCATCTATAGTGGCTTTGGCCTTAAGGTTTCAAAATAACTATTTTTTTTTATGCATAAATCATAGTTTGCATGCTTTAAACATATTTATTGATTAGGTTCCAAGTTCTCTGCAAATAAAATTTCTCTTACATATTTAGGAATTTTTTTAAAAAGATTCAAATCAAAGTGTTAAGTGCTAAGTCACTGATGAGCCATGATTGAGAAACTGAATTTACAAATAAGACTCAACAATTTTATTAATTAGGCAACTCTAACAATAGGTGAAAGCAAAACCCAATGTAGTAAGACAAAACTATTTTGTTTAAACCATTTTTAAATAATGAAAGATCAAAAAATTTCTATTTATTGTTGGATTCAGCAGCTTCAAAAATGGTCAGGTATCAATTTTCAATCATTTTTTCTACTAAAAACTATTGAATAAGTATCAAATATAAAAAAAAAACTGTTAAAAAAGTTTATATTTAAGAATTTTTTTTTTAAATAGTAAGTTAGCAAATCTTTACTAAATTGCAAGAGATAAAAAACATATTTTATATTTAGGATGTTTTACAGCCGCTCTTTTATTTTAACAAAATTTCAAATTTGTTAGAGATTAGCTGAGTTAGTAAAATTGCAAACCATGTAACCATAGTAACCATGATAACACAACAGTTATTTTTACTATTCTAAATTAAATAAAAAATTATTTTCATTTTTCTTGGATTTAAAAGTTTTTGGATTCAAAAATAGTAAGGTACCAATATTCAACAAGTTTCTTCCGCAAGAACATAAAATATAAATTATAATTTATCACTACAAAATCCATTTTAACAGATTTGGTAAATAATATATAATTTTAGGCTGAACATCACAACACTAAAAACTAAAGTTTAAAGTTTGCAAATTGTTTGAAAGTGTCAGGTAAACTGCCACTGTATAGCTCGCAGATTTTTTGGTGTTACAGAATTGATACTTTCAGACATTTGCAAACTCTAAACTTAGTATGATTATGTTTACCTCAAATGATACTCTGTAGCAAAAAAATTTTCCTAGTAACTCCCAACTTAATAGTGGTTGCTTGCAGCCTTGTTGGGAGTGAATGCAAATAAAAAAAAAAAAAAAACATAGTGTGATTGGGGCCTGAAAACAAAAATACTAACAAATATTGGCCCGCTTACCCCAAAAGATGAGGCTAATAAGTAAATAAATGCTTTTTTTTTTTTTTTAAATCCACTCCCCAAGGCCAAGAAGGCCACTGCAGACAAGGAGGCTACTTAATTGTGGTTATAACTCTCTCTAAACTCTATAACTTTGAAATACGAAACTTGATGAACAAGGTCGCTGCAGGGAGAAACAAGTTGAACGCGGTACTAACACAGGACGTGGTGAGGATCGAACTCAGAACCTCTCACTTATCAAGCAAGCACTCTACCACTACACCACTACTGCTTATAATTTACCGCTATTATTTTACAGTCAATTCAACTCAACTGGCATGCTTTATATTTTACGAAACAGTCATTTAGAATTTAAAAGTTATGACCACTTAAAACTTATAACCCCCAATTTTGTATTTTGGGAAGGGTGGAAACTTAACAAGTTCATAACTTTTGAAATCTAAAAGATCATTAGATGAAATTTAAAATCTCTCCATGAATTTAAATTTATTGTGAGAGAACAAAGTTATTTACTTCAATTTTCTAAAAAATTTATTAGGGGCAAATGGAGGCAGACAATTTTTTCATTAGGTGTTAGTTAAAGAATTAAAGCATGCTTTTAAGTTAATTTTATTTCATGCAAAACTGAAAACACTGAAATCCAGTATGTTAAAGTTCATCATGATGTAAAAAAATTCTAATAAAAAATTAAAAACCCTTGCGCTTTAAAATTATCATAAATTTATAGAAAAATATGAAGAAATATTCTACGAGGATAAAAATTCTACAAGGATAGATTATTTCAAAATGTCACAGTTTTATTCCTAATTTATCTAGATATTTAACATTTTTCACAAATACAAAAGTTGAGGGGACAGCTCGAAAATAAGCTAGGACAAATTTTAAATTCAATTTGAAAAAATTTAACTAATTTTGGAATTTTAATGTCAAATTTGAATTCAAGTTTGGTTTAAATTATGTAGAGTTAAATTATAAAATACAAACTTGCCAAAATTTGAAATTTGAATTTGAAACTCAAATTTAAATTTGAAATTCAAATTTGAATTTCAAATTCAAATTTGAATTGTATCAAATTTAGACATGGGCTGTTTGCCCTGGACATAAATGGTTAAAGTTGCAAAAAAAATCTGTATTTTTTTATATGAATATTTTAGGCTTTTTTTACTAAAAAAAAAAAGTTTAGCAAATTGTTTATATAGCAATCGTTACAAAATACAGCTACGTTAAAAAAATACATCATTTTTTTGAGCTAATTTAGTTTTTAAAAGACGCCATAATTTATTAATTACTTATTTAAGCATTAATTTATTTTTAATTAAGCAGCCAGGTTTTTATTTTTTTATCAAACGTTGCAATAATTTAAAATTAATACTTTAAAATAACTAGTAATTTATAAATTAATAAAATTTCTAAATTAATAAAAAAGAATTAATTAATTAATAATTTAAAATTATAGTTTAGTACTTTTTTTTTTTTTTCTTGGTTTTTATAAATTTTAAACAAATATTTTGGCTTTTAAACCCACTTTTAAATTTAATTATAAAAATATTAACGTAATGGTTATTTTAAT